TATCGAAACGGTTAAACAGTCGAACGAAGGGTGAAATGGTGCGGTTTTTGTTCTTTCAGGTTGTCGCAGTGTTGGCGCTAGTCGCAGGCAGCAATGCTAAGAAACTTCGCCGTGGAACACGGGCCCCCGATGTTAACGGCGAACCGTTCACGGACGCTGGCATAGTTACGGACGCTACAAAAATCACTCAACTCATTATAGCCGGCGACAAGTTGATCGAAGGCATCGGCTTCGTAGCTGATATTTCGGGAAAGGGACTGATCACTCGGTTTTTCATGGTGATGGCGGCGGTAGTGCAGACGAGTACATTGTGTCCTTGGGAGTTGGCAGACAGAGACACAAAAAGAAAGGTTTGCGTGTTTTTGCCTTGTACTTTGTTACCAACCAAAACAACAATTACACGTATGGACAGCGTGTTGAAGTACCTACGCTATACAATGCGCCTGAGAAGGGTGCCAGACTCACTGGCCTTGATGGTATAGCGGGGAAGGGAATCCAAGAATTGGGTCCGATCTGGGGTAAACGTGGTAATTAATCGCGATCTAAGATTAAGCCTTTTCTGACATAATACCGCCTACTGCTTACAGGACTACGGACATATTTGCGGATAATGCTGGTATGGTGGTGACGTCACACATACGATTACATTAGATAACGCCACTAATTTTTTTCAGAAGGAGAGGCTTAGATGTAGCTCAGGGTAGCGAACTAAGGACCAATATGTATTCACTTCACATTTTCTTTCTACTGCTCACACCCTTTTAACACTTCTTAAGCTTGTGAAGCCGTCAATTTGGTCATGTATAGTGTGATCCTTTGCGCGCGACTTATAAACACATAACAAATATTCATGTGTCATTATTCGGGCTGTACAGGTGCTGGTAAGATGGTTATGAGGTTCTGTTTGTTATGAAACGTATATAAACAGAATGATACGTCATGCAGCACCTTATGTCGTGCAAGGCAGGGTTAAAGAATTGCAACCAGCCTGTTTCTTGGTCACCTTTGTCTTGATAATTACGTAAAGCCACAGTCTTAAATGTAGGTGCTGTCGTGCGAGTCTCGTACTATCGTTATCCAATGAAATTTCATGGGCAGCTACTTGCAGCTTCTGCACACGCTGTAAAGCTGTTGTTTTAGCTCCTTCATTCACACAACTCGCAAAATCCACTTGGTCTTGAAATCTCTTGCACGCACCAGTGACTCGTCGGATGAATACCCGAGAATTGACATGATCGGGCTTCCAGCATCAAGTCCATTGCCGTATTGCACTAAATAACAATAATACGCTAGGTTTCTCAGCTTTAAGTATTTTGGCTAATGTCGTAAGCCTTACCGCCAAACGGTTTACCACGATGCCGGTTAGCTGTAATTTGTCGACAGTCTGCACTTCGATCTTTCTGCCTTCATTCCCGAAAGCAATATGCACTTCCTTTGCCACTAGCGAACTATCAGCGCCTGTACCCAGCATCAAATCCTTCACTTGGCGTTGAGC